GCGGCCCTGACGCAGTCGAATGGAACTCTAACAACAAACCTTCGGTTACTCCCAAACGACACAACTCTTCATCAACTAACGCACCGTTTCAAATCAGAGATGATATGGACATGACTGCTGAACTTGGAGGTAATTGCAAGCAAAACTCGACAAAAAAAAATTCACGGAAAGTGAATTCATTGCTATTCACGGAAGGTAGAATCTTCTAAACGAACGAAGGTAGTATCTATGCTGCGTCAGTTTGACAATGCGGTTCCTTCATAGCGCCATCTTATCATCGTGAATACACGAAAGAATCCCAACCTGAGATTCCGGAGGTATCCACTAGATGACTAGTATTCGAAGATAAGGAATTCTCTGCGATGTCGTCAGACTTTGATGCTTTTATTTGTACAAAGAATGACAAACCCACAACATATTCTGGCTCCAAGCGTAAGATGGATGAGAATCAAGCAAATCCAATCGAAGATACACGTGGTCTTGCAAAACGTAGCCGCCAAGCGATGCCAATTACCTCTGCATCCGATCAGAAGGACCTGTTTCTGATCACTGATGACACATCAAGCGCCTCCGATGGATCAAACAGCATTCACAAGCCAACCAATCAAAACGAATCAGTCCCCTTGTGTCTCTGAAGAACAATATGAAGATCATATCCTGGAATTGTCAAGGTCTTGAATTTCCTCTGACAAAACCCAGGCTACAGGAACTCTGTCGCAAGGTTGCACCAGATATGCTTTTCCTCATGGAAACTATGAATAAGTGTGATGTTGTTAGAGATGTCTGTTCTATTTTAGGTTTTGATTTCTGTTTCATCATACCTCCACAAGGCCATAGTGGTGGTCTAGCTATTTTTTGAAACAAGGATATCTCTCTTTCTACTTTGTATCATTCCAATCATTTGAATGATGTCTATGTTCAATATAATGGTATGGATTACTACTTGTCTTATGTTTATGGAGAACCTAATAAATCGTCATGCCATCACTTATGGTAACGATTAGAACGCATGAATCAAAATAAAAATGGTCCTTGGTTGCTCATTGACGATTTCAATGAGATTTTATCCAATAATGAGAAGAAGGGAGGACCAGCACGAGATGAAAGGAGTTCTCAAAGTTGAATTTGTATAACTCCTGCGATTTGTTTGATCTTAGATTTAAAGGCAATCGATTCTCTTGGAGGGGAACTAGGGGTAAACATAACGTTAAATGTTGCCTTGATCGAGCAATTGCTAACTCAGAATGGTTAACTATGTTTCCGGCTTCAATGGTAGAGTTTAAGGGATTATGCGCCTCTGATCACAGACCTTTAGTACTTACTGTTGCTTTTAATAAAGCCACCATCTCCAAACCTTTTCGCTTTGATAAACACTTACTACACAACCCAGATTTCAAAACACAATTAGCCAATGATTGGCAACGATATCAACATAATGGTTTAACAGCTCAAATTCACAATATTCAGTGAACAATGAATGATTACCGCCGGCATTCTAAAACCAATTCTGCCAAACGAATTAATTCCCTGCAACTCGAATTGGACCTAGCTCTCTCTGTAACGGATTTGGCTCCATATTGCATATACCAGATCCGTAAAGAACTAGCTCAAGCTTATAAAGATGAGAAAACATATTGGCGTATGAAGAGTACAACAACATGGCTTTGTGAGGGTGATCACAATACCAAATTTTTTGATGCTGTTACTAAATCACGCTACAACAGAAACCAAATCCTAGTCATAAAAGATGCACACGGTAACACATTCTGGGGAGATCGAGATATTGGCAACTATGCTGAACGTTACTTTCATGAAATGTATTCAACTGACAACAACAAAATTCTGTCTTCTCTGTTCGACCATTTCCAAGCTACGGTTACCCTGGAAATTAACCAAGAACTTACTCATGCCATCACGGCGAGTGAAATTTATGATGCTGTCTGTTCTATTGGAGATGATAAAGCGCCTGGCCCCGATGGCTTAACTGCACGATTTTATCAAGAGTGCTGGGATATCGTGGGAAATAATGTTGTCGCCGAGGTCCTTAGTTTCTTCAATACCGCATATATGGACAGGAACTTTAATCATACCAATATCTGTATGATCCCCAAATGCAACTCGCTGGTAACTCTTTCCGATTACAGACCTATCGCCCTTTGCAATGTAGTATACAAAATCATCTCAAAGGTTTTAGTTCGTCGACTTAAATCCTTCTTAAATACTATAGTTTCTGATTCTCAAGCTGCGTTTATTCCGGGTTGATTAATTACTGAGAATGTTCTTGTTGCACACGCGCTTATGCATTCTTTAAAAAGCTGCAAGCGTGTTTCCCAAACTTATATGGCAATTAAAACTCATATGATGAAAGCATATGATCATGTTGAATGGAATTTTCTGGAAAAAACATTGGTCGCTTTTGGCTTCTCAACCATATGGATTACATGGATCATGGAAATGGTTTGTTCTGTTTCATATTCTGTTCTTATCAACGGGAATCCACAAGGACATATTCAACCACAACGAGGACTACGCCAAAGAGATCCTCTTTCTCCTTATCTTTTTATCCTCTGCGCTGATGTCATGAGCCATCTATTCGAGTTACAAGTCCAAAAACATAAGCTCAATGGAATTAAAATAGGCAATGAAGTTCCCCGAATCACTCATCTGCTATTTGCCGATGACTCACTATTTTTTTTTCAAGCAAATTCTAAAAACTGTTTGGCGATTAAAGAGGTTTTCAAAATATATAAACAATATTCCGGGAAAAAAATTAACCAACAAAAATCCATGATCACTTTTTGTTCCCGTATACATAACTCCACCCAAAAACGATTAAAGCACATACTCAGAATCACACACCATGGTGGTGGGGATAAATATCTAGGTCTCCCTGAACAGTTTGGCCGGAAAAAAAGGAGATGTTCCATAATATTACTAGTCGAGTCAAACAGCGTACCTCATCCTGGAGTGCTAAACTTCTATCTCCTGCTGGTAAAGAAATACTATTAAAATCAGTTGCTCTCTCAATGCCAGTCTATTCGATGTCATGTTTTAAGTTACCAAAACATGTTACTTCGGAGCTCACAAGTACTATATCCCATTTCTGGTGGGAAAAAAAGAACAACAAAGAGGAATTCCTTGGGTTGCCTGGAAGAGATTACAATATTCAAAAAAAGAAGGTGGCCTAGGATTTGAGGACTTAGAAGCTTTTAACGATGCTTTACTTACTAAGCAAGCTTGGCGATTACTAAAACACCCCAATTGTCTCTTGCCAAACTATATAAAGCTCGGTATTACAAGAATCACCATCTTTTTGTCGCAAAAACTCGACCTTATCAATCCTATGGATGGTCCTCTATCCTCCATGGTCTTGAACTGCTGAAGAAAGGAACCCGCACTCTCATTGGAAATAGCGGCAAACTAATGTTTTTAAAGACAATTGGCTCCCTACTCACCCCTTAGACCGGCACAAGGCAAAGTTGATAATTGTCATTTTCTCGTTAAGGATTTAATTGTGAGAAACCAGAACTACCAACGATGGGTTACTAATGCTCTGTCCTGTTACCTGCACGAGGATGACATTGATGTGGTAAAAACAATCTATTTAGGAAGACGATCATCCAAAAAGGATTCTATTGTTTGGAATTATACCAAAAATGGGCAGTACTCTGTCAAATCAGGATATTGGTTTCTCACACATACCCCCGAGGTCCAACTACTTGCCCATGACATGGTGATTCATCTTCAAAACAAAAAATATGGAAACTTAACATTATGCCAAAATTAAAACATTTCTTATGGAAAGTTTTGTCAAAATCTCTTGCGACTGCAACAAGACTAAGAAGTCGTGGCGTCTCCATTCCTGATACATGCCCCCGTTGCAGATTGCAACTGGAAACCATACATCATTTTCTATTGAGCTGTCCGATGTCCATTTCTACGTGGCGGATGACTAAAACTCCTTTGAACTCTCTAACAATTCCATCTAATGATACTGGCACAACTATTAAACTATTTATTGATGCTCAATTACTACCAGGTCTCTCCACTACTGATAAGCTTCTTCCCTTCTGGGTCATGTGGCGCATCTGGAAATCACGAAATAAGTTTATTTTCCAAAATCAACAAATCAAAATTGGTAAGGACGTCAATAAAACATATGCAGATGTTGCTGAATGGATCACTACTAACGTTTCTGAACCAACTGTACCAATTCTCCCTGCCGAGTGGACACCTCCTGTTCCTAAGGCCGTTAAATGTAATTATGATGCTGCTTACAACCGAACTAATCAAATGTGTTCTGCTGGTTGGATCATTCGTGATTTGTCCGGTTCATTCAAACAATGAGGCTCTACTGTACTCGGAAGAACATCTTCAACTATTGAGGCTGAAGGAAAAGCGTTATTGTGAACTCTACAACAAGTCTGATCCAAATGATACACACTAGCATTTTTGAGGGTGATTGCCAAGTTTTGGTCTTTCTACTCCAAAATCACGAAACAAACATTACTATTACCAATCTATTAGAAGACATTCGCTTTTGGATGAATAAGTTTGTGTTTTCAGATATTTTTTATATCAAGCATTTCTGTAACAAAATAGCTCATACTCTAGCCAAAACTAGACCTCCAAATAAGATTTTTTACCCAGATTCTATATCTGATCCTCCAGAATGTTAAAATATTTTGTACTCTCACAATATTTGATATATGATCAATAAATATGTTTCCGATAAAAAAAAAGTACCGGCAAGTAGACCAGAAACCGGCCAACAAACAAAATACTGTACAAAAGCTTTAGAGATTAAACCGGGCTAAGTCGGAGAAGACACCAGTGACATGTGTCGTCTTCTCCGTTCATCTCTTTTTTTTTTCTTTTTTCTTCTCCATCTATAAAAGTTGAAACTGTTTATAAAAAAAAAAAAAAAATATCCACAGCAGCTGGCGCTTTCTTCCCGAAAAACTCCAATAGACACCTCTCTCTCTCTCTTTCTCTCACTCATGGCGATCAAGTTCGCTTCACCGTTGGCTCTCTTCTTACTCAATGCAGTCTCAAATTCCCATTCCACAGGTTTGGTTCTCCACTTACCATTTACTCAACGTGAATCTCTATGCTTGATTTTTGTGTTTTTCTCTCTTATCGTAGATGAATCTGGGCCCCCGAAATTTACATTCAGTTGGTCAAACGAAAAGAACAAGTTTAAAACAGGGGAAGTCGCGGGAATTATGATCAAAGTTCTGGGAAATTTTGAAAACCAAGGGAACGCTTCATTAGGGCAGAGAGCATTTAACCCTAGACTTACCGTGAACGGGAAGACTGGGAGCAGTTCGTACGTTTCAGGGGTTTCGCTGGACCTTGGTGCAGATATCAGCACTTGGAAGATTTCTTTTACGCCCATCATGGTTGGAGTTTTCAACATCGTTATAGACGACGAGAACTTCAAAGTCCTTGATTCGTCGCTCCATTTTGAAGCCGAGCCAGGTTCGGTTTCCTGAATTAGTGAATCCCCTCAAGCTCTTCTGCTTCATGGTTTAGTTTTTTTGTTATCAGAAATTTGTTTTTACTAAAATTGACTGTTTCTACTTGGTGTGAAGGGTTAATGTACCCATATGTGTGTGTTGTTTCTTGGATGGGTCTTGCAAACTTGTTTGAAGCCGGTATGAATGCATCCATATTGATCCTTCCCAAGTACGCATTTGGGAATAACATTTCTTATTCCGGGAAGGACATGGAAATGGAGATGCAGGGGCTTTCGTTGTCTCTTCTCAACGAAAATGGTTCCATTGCTAGCATTCTCAATATCACACACACCAGATGGATTGAATCTGGTTACATTTCCATCGAGTTTGTTCTTGTGACCGCTGGAAAAGTCTTACTTCTTGTGGAGAAGGAGAGCCAAACCCTGAATGGTGTTACACTACCTCTCGAGGTGAATCCAGGTGATTAGGTCTTTATAAATGTTCCTGCCATGTGGGTTTTAATCAATTTATCTTTCGCTAAATTTGTTGGTTTTTGTGAGCAGGGCCTTTAGATGTTTGAAGCTGCGTGAGCACATGGAAGTCAGAGCTAAACACGTGGCAGATATTTTCCAAGATGGAGATCATGCTACACCAGAAGGATCGATTTGGGAACCTTGTTTCCGGATTCTATGAGCTTGATGCTGATGTGGTGGAGAAAGAGACTGGTTTGTCTATTCCAGTAGCAGATTTTCAGTTTAAGTATGTAGAGGCATGGATCCAGTTGATGTCTTTCAGCTTATCTGAGCCTGGAAAGTTCTTGCTCACTCTCTCTGATATGGAGCACAATAAGAGCATCTCTGGTATGCCATATGAGTATACAGTGTATATAGGTCAGTGTTTTGCTAAAAACTGCTACATGGTCGTATCGTATGATGCTACTTTCTGCCTTTCGGTGAATGCTCTCTGTAGCACTCGTCTCATTTTGTTCTTCTTGACAGGTTATTGTGATGGATCAAGAAGTATAGTAAATGGTTCAGGGATCAATGCTTCTATCGCTGGAGAGTCTCTTGGCTTCTCTATATTCTTGAAAGATGCTTATAGTTATCCTTCACCAATTCAAGTGAATAGACTTCAGGTCAAGACACTGATTCCTCGTATGTTTTCCCAACCATACAGCCGAGAGAGACCCTCAATGGTAGTACACAAGTATTTTCTTATAGTACTTCCAAATTAGGTTGTGATGTCTTCACTTGTGGCTTATACTAGCGAACAGTTTTACAGGGACTGGATCAAATTACCAAGCCTTGTATGAGAAACTCGGCGGTGAAGTAAGAGTCTTATCCGCATATGTGCTTATGCATTAATCCGTTACACCTAGAGATTTAAGGGGTCTCTTTTTTGCTTGCAGGCTTCGGACAGCCTAGTGATGCAAGCAAGTGCTTTTGACGTAACGTATTCTCCAAAAAGGAGTGGAGTTTATAAAATCTTTATATCCTCTGGAAGCATACTTCTTAATGGAGGCCAACCTTTCCTTAAGGAAGTACATGGTGGTAACATTCTCTATACCGTTATTTAGATACTTCCATGTGAAGATAGTGTCAGTTATGCACACTCTTGCTTCTCTCAGGTGAAGTGAATGTGACAACGTGTAGTGTGACGCAATTCAATGCAAAAGTGCTAAAAGAAATAAATAATGAATTTGTGGTCTTGCTCGTGGACGGATTCTACAATCCTGTGCCTGCACAGCCGTCACGGTTAAAGCTGGACATCACCTCGGCTAACACATCAAGTTTCACTACGTGGAACTTTGTCGATAATAACGATGGGACATATACAGTTTGTACTTACCGAATGTGTGTATCCTTTGACAATCAAAATATCCAACCTTGCCCCTTTGACGTAAATGTTTATTGCAGTAAGTCCATTCCTTCTTCTTTTTTTTTCACCATGATCTTTCTCTGGCTTACAGATAAGTTTTTTAAACCATTGATTTAGGTGGATACTTTCCAAAAGCATATGATGATGCAGTCAATGTGTGGGAAGATGAGTCAATCTCTTTTAAACCATTGGAAAACGACTATTTTGCTGGCGACAATGCGAGCATCCTCGGCTTCTCACAAGTGAGGAATGAATGTGGCATTTCTTCTATGTTTTTGACATTTTAAGAATATTTTTCTTTAAACTGCTGTTTTTTTTCCGGATGTTAGGCAGGTCATGGATCTCTCCTGAGGGATGGAAACCTCCTTAGATACACACCATTCAAGGATTTTTTCTGGAAACGACTCCTTTCTTTATACAATAGCTGATATCAATGGAAACTTAGCCGCGGCTACAGTTTACATCATTGTTCTTACTGCTCCTCCTCAGTTTGTCTCATTCTCCGGAGGATTGCAAGCAACTGAAGGTCAGGGTAAGCATTCTTCATTTTGTTTAAATTTTCCACTTGAGGTACCTGTAATCTTGTTTCTTGAATGTTATTATCACAGTGGCTTCTCTGGTCTGGAGATAAGCTACTCAGACCTGCTTGAGAACATTTCAGTAACGGTGCAAGCACTCTCTGGATCGGTCATTCTCTCTCCAATGCTGATGCAGTTTAGGCCGCCTGCAAGTGGAAGACTCTCAGTTAGCAACGGAGGTGAAGATGGAAGGCTCTTAACCTTAGAAGGACAAATAGGAGTTATCAATCCCGCACTTGAGTCCATTCAATATCTCGGGTATATTTATGCTTTCTTGCATCACAAGAGAGTTTCTCATTTCAACTACTTTTTTTCTTTTTGACCCTGCCTGCCTCAGAAACGAGAATTTTGCTGGTGTTGATTCTCTTCGGCTGTCCACAAAGAACAAGAATGGGATCAATCAACTGGATGTTCCTGTTTTCGTTGAGCCTGTCAACGATCCACCTTTTATTGATGTTCCTCGCTATATAATGCTCGAGAGCAATGGAGGTGAATCGCTCATATTTCACAAAGAAACAAACAAATTCAACTTCTCAGTTGGAGATCCGGATCTTGCTAATTTTCCCGGTAATGTTAACAACACTGTTGATCACTTTAAAGCTAGCAAGTAGCAACGCTACTTTATTTTGCTAATAACTGATGAAAGCAAAATGTCAGGTGGTGAATCTCATTTCTTGGTAACGTTTTCCGTGGAAGTTACTGACGGGTTTCTGCTGACAAACTTACCGTCCGAGGTTATAAACTCAACAGAGCTCAAGTTCAAAAAAATATACCGGTGGCAGCCGATTCAGACCTACGCTGCCATTTCTAAGCACGTGAATGTCAAAGCCAGTAGGATTAGGTTTCGTGGAACAATTAAGCAATGCAACGTAAATTAAGCCAATCGTCTATCTTTAAATTTAATGCGTTTAGTTCTTGATATCATCATTCATCGCAAATACCGTCTAGGGAGGAGAGAAGGGTGCTATCTTGACCCTGAAACTGAGTGACATGGGGAATTACGGGTGCTCCCTTGATTGCACCGAGAGAATTTCACTGCCTCTACACGCCAAGGCTCAGGTAAACCTCATCAGAAAGAGACCCTTGAGTGCCCTTGCAGCTCAAGGTACGTTTTATGAACCACTTCGATTAGGTTTTTGTTTAGTCTATCGGTGGTTTAGTTTGGCTATTCGTTTTCAACATGAAAAGTTTATTAAATGCATATTTGAACGTAATGTGGGGTTAGATGAATGGTTTGGTTCGGTATCAAACTTAATATTGGTTTCTCAAAGCTGAACGATTTTTTAAATACGGTTAGATAAGGTTTAGTTTAGTTTTTTTATGCCCATCTCTACTTTCTCTTGTTCCATACTTTTGTCACTTGGCCACAGTTCTAGGATCAGTGATTGTGGTGGAGTCTCTCGTGGTATTCTCTCTCGCCACTTTGCTTCTGTTCTTCACTTGCAAGTGCGCATTTCTTCTCGTACACGAGCGAAGAAACGAACATTACGTTAACAAGAATTTGCAGAAACCAACGGTAATTAAAGATTCGTCTCTTGTATTTTCTTATATCCATCTAATGTCCAAACATTAAAAAAAAAAATGTTTCTCTCTTCTGGACCAGGACAATGCCGAATCCTTAAATGGCAATGTTTCATCAAGAAAAATCACTGGTTGTTTCCCGGAGAGTATCTGGAATCGCCATACACGGCAGAGGTATATCCTGTGTATATTTTATATTTGGGTGACATGGTTTAATTGTTTAAATAAACTCTTAGAACTATAATTTGTATGTATGTGTTTTTGTTGGTGGTATAGACAAGTCGGTGAAACTTCTAGCAAGCAGAACAAGGAGTTGCCTGCCTCAGGTTAACATTTTCCAATATGAACGCTACCAAATCTGATATAGATCATTTCTCAGTCGTTCTTTAAACATGATTTTCAACCTGGAAAAATTCTCTAAGACTGCACGGCTGTTTTACTTTGTAAGTTAAGGTTATAACCTACACGGCTGTTTTGTGGAAAAACGGTATATTCCACCGTAAACTAATACATTCCTGATTATTCATACATCAACTATGAAGCAATGCCGAAAACTACATGAACTATTAAAAAACGGCCAATTCCACCATGAACTAATAAATTCCAAATTATTCATACATCAACTATGAAGTAAAGCCGAAAACTACATGAACTATTGAAATGTTTGAATTTCCACCATAACCTTTAGAACTGTGATCAAAACCAGCAATACTGTAGACGTCAGACCAACACATGGTTACTCAAAACGACGTCGTTTTGTAATTTGAGTGTGAAAAACATAAAACTACGTCGTTTTGTCTTATGTCGGAAATTAACCAAAAAAAGTTTCTCTTCATTGTTTTTTCTCACAATATCAGAATTTAAAATCCTAGAAGCAATCGAATGATGTTTGGAGTAATGAGGATCACTGGAAAAATTTCTAAAATCTGATATTAACCAAAAACTTTGTCTGGAGCAACGAGGATCACTACAAAATTTCTAAGATATGAAATTAACCAAAAACTTTGATTGCTTCTAGGGTTTTAAGATATGAAATTGTGAAAATTTCTTCCAAACGAAAAAGAAACGATGAAGAGAAAGTTTTATTGATTAATTCTCGACATAAGGCAAAACGACGTGGTTTTATGTATTTCACACTCAAATTACAAAACGACGTTGTTTTGAGTAACCACGTGTTGATTCAGTCATCAGCAGCTAACGGCCAAACTCACGACGTTTGTATTGTTGGTTTCGACCACAATTCTAAAGGTTATGGTGGAAATTCAAACATTTCAATAGTTCATGTAGTTTTCGGCATTGCTTCATAGTTGATGTATGAATAATCAGGAATATATTAGTTTATGGTGGAATTAGCCGTTTTTTTAATATTTCATGTAGTTTTTAGCATTGCTTCATAGTTGATATATGAATAATCAGGAATGTATTAGTTCATGGTGAAATTGGTCGTTTTCTCGCTGTTTTGTAGACAATATATTATTTTGGTTACCTATATAGATTTTTGGCATATTCAGCATAGGAGAAAGGCGTGGCTGCTAGTTTTTGCTAACCTCTAACAATGAAAAAGAAGACAAAGCAAAAAGTGTGCAAACAATCTAGAAAGCTCTCTCACTTAAGAAAAATCATATCAAGCATGTTTTAAAAGACACTAAATCATGGATTTTACTGCCCAAAATAACCTCTTTTAATCCTAATAAATACTGAATTACAGAAGTCAATGATAAATCAAGATGGTTATGTACGACAGAGACGTAAGATAAATATTTAGCATAAGTAGAAATATAAAAAAAAAGTAAATCACCAGTTTAGTACTCTCTGAAGTCGTCTCGTTAGTAATAGTAGAAGTTGATGTAGATGCACAAACATCTTATTTCTTTACATATACCTCTTATGGCGTCATGTAAGATAGCCATCAGCCATGCAGCTATGAAGTTGTGCAATAATCCTTTTTTCCAATTCGCTTTCTCCCAGCAGCTCACCTGCATTCTCTCATCTACTCATTTAGCGCTGATTAGGAAGAGTATTATTCTCCGTTTTGAGAGTTCCGTCATGTTCCATGGAAACGAATCGCCAAATATACAGAGATTAGGTTAGCGACTGATTGTATCTAAAGTTTTTTTGGTTGACCTTACCGCTACACGAGGACGATGGTTCTGCTACTCTGCCATTTTATTCTCCTTGCTTCTACATTCTTTCTCATTCCCGATCAGCTTCTTCTCCTCCCTTGGCTGGTTCTCTTTGTTGAAATCTTTGAGAAGTTTTTTTTAGCTCCAGGTAAACCTCGTTCCCGACCAGATCTATTTCGTGAAGACTAACCTGCGGCTGTTTCATCCATTGAACTCTCAAGAGAGAGGTAATAAAAAATTAGAGAGTTAGAATCGAGAGAAAAATTGACGATTGATAGATGAATTGATTTGAGGGATAAATAGATGATATGAAGAAGATAATCATCGTTACAATTAAAATGACGATTAGATCAAGCTTTGGTGCTTATGTCATGTGGCGTTTCCTCAAATTTTGTTACAGAATGTTTTGTGTTCATAATATATGGGCATGGCCCCAAGACAAATTTGAACTCTTTGCATACACTTTTAAGTTGCTAATTTGACACGATTATAGAAGTTGAACCGTGCTACGCTCAGATTGTTGTTATACATGTATTTCAATTTTTTTCTTTTTATTTTCGTAAATAGCTGAAAGTACTTTTATGAGAAAGGTGGCTATTCGCATCATATCTATTACTAATAAAAGTTGATGCTAAATACCTCTAAGGGTGTCCACATAGGATTTAAAGATTCAATTCTATTGGTACACATCATCATTATCTTTTGTTAATTATATATTGCATATTAAAATTTATTAATTCGTTTTAATTATTAGAAGGAAAATTTCAAAACTTTAGTTAATTTCGCTTTTATTGTTATAAGGAAAATTTTTAAATTTTAAGTTAGTTATTAATAAAAAAAGTTTTAAAAATAGATCTTATTTTTTATTAACAATAAAAAGGTAAATTAACATATAAATAGATTATGAAAGGAAATCATATATATTGAACAAAATTATTAAAAATTATATTTAAAACCATAATAAATTATTTTAAAATTTTAATCGCGACAAACAAGTAAAATCTGAAGTGCTAACTTAAACAATATTAGTTGTGGTCCGTGTTGATGTCTTAGGCCAATGAGAGCGTCCATATATACTCAATCTGATTAGTCTATATCAGTGTTTTTTATTAAACATAAAAAATAAAAAATATTATTAATAATTTAAATAAATTAAAACATACAAAAATATAAAAGTATCACAATAGAATAGAAATTAAGATAATTTTTTTAACTAAATAAAATAAATTTATGTCAAAAGTCTAAATCTATTGTGAAAAAAAAATGGAAACTCATTGTCACAAAAATAAATATGTAACTCAATAAAGAAAAAGCTGAATTAAAAAAAATTTAGCATATATATTTTAAATGAGTAATTTTATTTAGATAAAATATTAAGATTAAATTTTCATATAAACATATAAAATTATTATTTAAAATATCAATACTATCAAAAAAACATTCATCTTAAATTATCAAAAAAGAAAATCATCTAAACTTTTAATTTTTGGGGAAATATTTAAAAAATTAACACAAAATCTTCACAAACCAAAAATGATACTTTATGCTAATTACTGAAGAAAGCAATATAAAAAAATGTTTAAGTAACAAAAACCAAAACATAAATTATTTCTTACAACATGTCAATACAATTAAAATGAAAGTTCATATCGAGAAAGTTAAACTAACAAAAAAAGAGAGGATATTAACTTCATATCTATGTTATTTATTTAACAAAATCAATATAAACAGAATAAGTAAGAGAATAAAAAACTTAAATAATACTAAAAAACTTAACTTACAAAAATAATATAAATATTTAAGATAATTATCGAGGAAATGAATTTTAAGAAATTAATTAAATAAAAAACTAAAATGAAAAATTAAGTTTTACAAAATATTTTGTTTAAAACACTTAAAAATATATTGACTTGATATCGGACTAACTACTTAAAATTCATATAAAAATATTTAACTAACAAAAATTTTATGTCTTAAAAATATCAATATTTTAAAAACAATGTTGTGTTAAAATAAATAAAAATCAATATCAAGAGAGGTCAATTATCAAGGAAAAAATCGTATAAAGTACAATTAGCTTGATATTTAGGCTAACTACTAAATAAATATTAATTAAAAAAAGCAAATGATGACATAAGATTTTGAGAGAAGTTCATTTAAAAATTAGAATAACGAGTTATAGCATGTCAAAATAGCATTTTAATTAATTTAAAAAGTAAATTTAACAAAGAAAAAGCATTTATGTAAAAGATATTAGACTAATATATATGATACCTATTTGAAAAAACAATAACAAAAGAGAATAATAAAAAATATATATGTTTTGAGTATATCAAACCTGCAGAAAATTAGATAATTAAAATAAAATATAAAATTACCATCAGAGATATTTAAAATAATAAAAAACAAGACCTAAGAAGAAAATTAGTTTGAAATATAGTTCTAAAAACATTCATGATTTTTAAAATATTGATGTTGACTATGAATAACCATATACAGTTTTAATAAGTTATACAAGTTTCTAAATCAAACACATTATTTAAATTTTCAAAGATTAATACCTTGGTTGCGTCTAGCTGAAAAATTAACAAAGTAAAATACTACATAAGTAACTTTACATTCAAACTATGATAAGTAATAAAGTCTGATTTGTATACATATTTACTGCTTATAATTTAGTCAACATGAACAACACATGAGTAATATCCTCTAAAATTTTATTTAAATAATATAATATGACAAAGTTATGAATCAAATTCAAATAGGAATATATGATGATAAAATATTCAAATCAAAACAAGAATAAACACACAAAAGATAAAAAAACAGTGATAATGTGAAGTCTCAACATCATCTTACATGTTTAAAGAAAAATATTAGCAAATAGTTGACTGCAAATAAAATAGATCTTATAAACTAAATATAGATATAACCTAAAATTCGAAGAAGATCTGGTAAAGAAGCAAAAAACAGCTTTACACGATTAGTGTAGCTTACTAACAAAAGTAAATCTGAATCAACATATATTATATATTATATATGTATATATACACAACATTAATGAGACATTTAGTAAAGAAACTAAGTATTTAAACATATAAACCTTTTAAAAAAAGAACCATAGAAATCCTAATGTTACAAAACAAAACATCAAAAATTTAGTAAAGAAATCATTTTCTAAATCAAACATATGCACATCGATGTTGGA